TGGAATCTGCTTTTCTTCTCGAGTTTGAGGAAGATTTCAACGACGAAGCACTACCAGATGGAGAACAAGAAGCTGATGAATCATTACTGGTAGTGACAGAAACTGAAGAAGATGATTCAAGGGATGTTGTAGAGCTAGTGGAACAACATGAGTTCCCCAATCCAGATTTCTTGGATACTAAATCTTTTCCTGTAACAGTCAATGCATTTTGATGTCAATTCCATTGGAATTGGAAGAAAGGAACTTTTAAATTATATGATTGTTCTTACCAGATCCCAGGGTTGCAACTTTATTTCCCATTTTGACATGGTCCGCACCTAAGGAAATCTTTTTTCTTTGTCCTGCTGACACCATGTTCATCCTGCCTAATATCTTGGGTGACTTGTGAGGAAGTGAATTAGATTCACCATTCTTTTCAGCATCCTGTATTGATCAAATTAATTTGAGTCAGTTAATTCATATCTTAGAGTTACAGTTTCATTTCCTTACACAATCTTGTGTCTACATATCCAACATGTTAGACTACCAAATGTTGGACAAACTTGTGATTTGTAAGTAATAAATAATAATGCAGCCTTTCAATTTGAGCAATTGAGATGATGAACACTTATGCATTCTAAATACTAAAAGGAACTATATAATCTCATTTTCTTCGATTTATACATGCCTGGACGATTTGTGGATGGACAACCTCCTTAACTCTTTTTGATCCTTGCATATAGACGCTTTGCCTTCTAGAAGTTGGTGTGGATTTCACCTGATATTTAGATACAAGAGAACTTAATTTCTCAATAAATGCTAGAACAATTACAATGAAAGACTACAATCAATAGCACATACCCTATTTCGAGAGATGTCATCAAGTTTCTTCAAGGCTGAAAAGATGCAACCATAGATATTGAGCATATATTTGTGATAAACAGATGCATAAAAAGGGAGACCATATAACATTTTTTACAAGACACTAAGGCTAGGTACCAACCTCCTAAACACAAGATATTATGCTTACTAAGCCTAAGAGTAAGAAAAGAATTTAGGACAAGTGAGGTTTCAATATTTCCTGCTGCAACAATAGCGGAAGGCCTGATTACCCATTAAATCTCTTTGGGATACCTTAAATGCAATCACATTGCAATTCACATACAAAATGAATAGGCAAAAATTTCTTCTTCCATTCACAATAAGATTTGTTCTGAATTTGCAATATACTTACAGTGGGTTTCCCGTTTGTGGGCTTCTCCAACTCCTGATTTGCAAACTGACTTGCAAATATTGGACATTATATTGGATTTCTCAATGGATGCTCTTATATCTTCAAACAAATCAACCTCAGTGCTTTGGTTGCTGTCCAAAGAGAGGTCATCACTATCTAATGTCGATTCTGAGTGTGCATATCTCCACGTACACGGATCTTCTTGAGTTACGGGTAATAGGTGAGCTTCAACCTTCTCAAATCCTTTATTTATAATAAACAACTCTTCTGGATCTAGAAGTCCTGATCATGCATGAAGCATTAATGAGTTCGAATTTTAACTTGCTCTAACCATATGAAATGAGTTAACATTGGCAGAAGGCACCAAATATTTCAGATTTCTTGTAAAAGCATACCTGCACTGGTGAAAAAAGCAGTATCCCAATCTAAACTTTTGCGCAAGTTGCTTGCTCTTCCCAACTCAGTGGATTCATGAAATAAGACCTTTTGCTCCCTTTGCTCGAGTATTTCTACTGCATTTTCAGGTTCACGAGAATCTGTGGTCCCAAACAGCTTGAAACCTTCTTGCTCATCTATTTTCTCCAACACTACTGTGAAAATGAATTCAAGAATAAAATGTTTCAGGCTAAAATTGAAAATGGAAGAATGTATCTGTTCAAGTAACTGCAGAATTGTTCCTAATGTTGATGCAGAAACTAAGATCAGTTGGTGGTTTTTCATGCAGCCTAAGCAAATTAGAGTCCTTTAGATATTGATGTGTTAGTTATCAGGAATTAGGAGGTCCAAAGATGATGCAGAACTATGAAATATCTCACAAATAAAATGATATCAGAAATTCACACCTACCACAATGTAAAATATTAAGGTTCTTAAAATTTTGCTCCCATCCCCGAAAGTAACTGAAGAATTAGAAATACAGGTCTATTCTATTGGATTGATTATTAGTCTTAACACTATGATAAACAATAAGACATGAAAATTAGAATTAGAATATAAACATACCTACATAGGGCAGAGAAATATCATTCACGTACTATATAACCTACAATTAGATTATTACAGAGTATATCTTCCAATATACTTGTGTTATCTCACATTAAGACATAAGTACAAAGTATTGTATTGGCGGAGATTAGGTGACTAGTTACAATTTATAAAGCATGGCTAGAGGGATACAAGATAGAGGTATGACACAATATGGATACATCAATACAAATTCTGAAAAAAGTAGGATATGGATTATGTTAAAGGATACGACCATAAATAAAAATATATATAAATTAAAAAGTAATTGTCATAAATCTTTTAGGATAAACTATTTTTCTTTATTTATCTATAATTAGGAAACACTCTAATTTTGGCGAAGCTGAGTCAGACTTTAGATTTCTAGAAAAAGTTGAATAAAAATTGATTAATTTATTCAGATGGTGATAATTAATCAAATCATTTGAGAGTCACATAGTTATTTTATATACACAGTTACATAACCACCATGAAGTATGTAAGCTCTCTACTTCCAGTCCCATGCTCCGCATATAACTCCACTATCATCAAGAGTTTTTAATGCTTCCCTACGATGTATTCAAGCACATCAAGTATGTGTTAACTTTCTAGTCTACCAAATAGTCTTAATTTCAAACTACTAGAAGTCACAGCATGCAAAAAAATTCAAAGTGTAGTATTGGTAGAGATTAAGTGACTAGTTGAATCTATAAAGCATGGAATGGGATACAGGTATGACACAATATGGATAATACATGGGCAAATTACATATACCTCCCTCGAGGTTTGGCTAAATTACAGATACCCCACTGAGGTTTCCAAAATTACATCCCGCTCCCTGAGGTTTGTATTTTCATAACAATTTGCTCCCTGAGGTTTATATTTCATAACAAATTACCTCCTAATTTGTTATGCAAATATAGCATTCAGGGGGGAATTTGTAAATTCTCAAACCTCAGGGGGGTATTGAAAAGTAAGATATGGATTATGTTAAGGATACGACAATATATAAACATATATAAATTTAAAAAGTAACTTTGTGAAGACTGTTTTTCAAACTACTAGGAGTCATAGCAAGCACAAAGTGTGCATAAATCATTGAAAGACAATAACAATTCTAAATATAAAATTTATGGTATAAATGAAATGTTACCAGAAATGACGCCTTAAATTACTTCAAAAGATTAGCAACCCAGTAAATTTTTTTAAAAAAATGGATAAGAAGAAAAATAAAAAAGTAATCAACAAAATATTCACAGTCCCTGTTAAATTTTATGTTTAGAATATCATCAATTTTTGTGTTTTTTTTTTTCAGGGGATAATAATACCATCATCAAATTGAAGTTATTTAATCTCTTTGTAACACATTTGACACAGGAAATTAATAATAGTGAAAGAAATGAAAATTATAGGCAGATAGATCACTATATCTAGCTAAGCATATAGCGACAATGACTATGAAAAGCTTCATACACAACATCACACAAAAAAAAAAAAATCAAAATAAATTTTATATATATACAATTTATGGTAGATGCATATGTACGTAAAAATGACGAAAACTCTTTTAAGTGATGTCATTTAAATCAAGGTGGTGGTGATAGTATAAAATTATTGAGCAAATTCAAGGAGATAATTGAATGTTCTTCTTCTCTATAATATTGGTTTGGAGGAATTGGAAAGTCTATTCGTCTTTGATAGAGCAAATATGTATATTCCTCGTATGGTACTTCTGCATACATACCGACCGGGTACACAACACATACCCAAGCTTTTTCTTTTTAATTTTTGGCGTACCCAGACGTACCTAGTTAACACCCAAGCCGTACTGTACCTTAGTTGAAATAATATTTTCTTATACTGAAGAGATAAAACTCCTTTCACTAAAAATTTATGGTATAAATGAAATGTTACCAGAAATGACGCCTTAAAATTTATGGTATAAATGAAATGTTACCAGAAATGACGCTATAAAATTTATGGTATAAATGAAATGTTACCAGAAATGACGCCTTAAAATTTATGGTATAAATGAAATGTTACCAGAAATGTTACCAGAAATGACATTTAATTTTGATTTATACCTTTACTTTTGACATTAAATGTTAATTGTAGGTTGAACCTTAACAAATTAAATCATTTAATTAATTTTTGCATTACTCTAAATTAAAAATAAATATTTTTTTACAAGCGTACCAAGCCTTACCCGTACCCTATTTTTTAAAAATTTTACCGTATTGATGTACCCTTATCGTACCAGTACTAGTATTCGTATTCGTACCTATACCCGTGCTTCATAGGCAACAATGACTATGAAAAGCTTCATACACAACGCCACACAAAAAAAGTCAAAATAACATTTATATATACATACAATTTATCATAGATGTATATGTACATAAAAATGAAGAAAAGTCTTCTAAGTTGTAAGATACAGACAACGCAACGGGTAAAAGGATTCAAACCATACCTTGCGTAAAAGAATTCGAAATGAAGAGCCTCGTTGGTAAATCACGTGCTTGACAACCATGAACTATGAACACCCAGCAATGGAATGATACTACAGTATGAGTATCACCGACACTAGTCACAGTGCAAAGGCTGGATCGTTCTCTGATGGGAGAGAGTTAGAGAGAGAGTATAGGGAAAAAAATGTTATGGGTAAAAAACCACATCACGTATCTAATGTTTCTATGTATTAAAACATATAATCAGATATATAACCATATATATCCATCTATCCATATCTCCTAAGGATAGGATAGATGTAGATAGATAGAGGGTTATCCTAACAAATAGGATAATTAAGAAATCAAATTCAAATTACATGGGTAATTTGAATGGGCTATGGGTCATGCCACATGAGCGCCTAAATTCGGGTCCAATACCCGACCCAATTTCCAACATCTCGCATTCGCACATGAGTTGGCATGATACTGCCACATCTCTATCTCAATCTCCCAAATATTGAACAATCCCATACTAACCAATGAACCATGCGACCACTGAGAAACACTTGCATGTGAGAGCTCTATACTAGAAACTCAAAATGAGCCAGTATAGAGACATCAACCCAAAAAATAGAAATAGTGTCCCATATACCCCAGACCCATCTAATTACACCGGTCCAAAAACATCTCTAATCCCTCAAAAGAGCATGCTTGACCCTCTCAATTCTTGCAATATATTCACACTCAATCCGCCTCTCATACAAAGCGATGTGAGTTGCCAGCAGTGAATATTAGATGATCTTCCCCTTGCCCTTATGCCATTTAGTTTAGGATTGACCGCTTTCCCAGTGATGTCCCTTAAGGCCGAATCATACATGACCGCAAGCAACATACCAAAGTAACAGAACATCAACCCCTTACCTTGTGACATAGTCAAAGGTCACAAAAAGGTACATAAGTGAAAGTCATATCAATAACGATACATAAGACTCACACGGTGAGGAAACAGGGATCCATTCTCTCACCTCATTACTCAGTCGCCAAGCTAAATGGTGAAAATATACACACATATATGATATATATATATATATATATAATGTATCAATTTGATCCTTTGTAAATGCTAATGCCTTGTACCCTCTCTTCCAAAAGAGTGACGTCATACTCGATACACCGTACAAATCTTAGTCTAGTCGCTTTCTAGCGCCTAACCCGAATTCTCTATTTGCTCGCCTTCCAGGCGCCAAATGAGATCTTGCATCTGGCTAATCATAACAGGCACAACATGGAAAGTGGGTACTAACATCCATGTTTGGTCCTTCACACAATCTCATCTTGGTTGTAACCAAGGCGAGATATATAGTGGATAATTTAAGCCTCTTGGCTCCAAATAAAAATAAACCACTAATCTCATCCTTGCTCGCTCCCAAGCACAAAGGGTGATTGCTCGTGTGAATGAGCCAATCTTGCCTGCTGACATCATCATCTGCTAATCATTATGACACAAACCATAATAATGTCAACATCCCATCATCTCACAACAAATAAGTGACCGATTTTAAAAAAAAACACGACCACAGTCTGCACAATTCTAGATTCCAAGCATAAACCTTATCAGCACCTCTTGCGATAAGCATATACAACAGAATCTACCATGTACGCCTCACATGAAATGGTTCAAGATCACTACCTCTCGCGCAATTACCTTTCTAAAGATATTTTGGTGACCAATCTACGTTCATTCAAAATGCGCCCAACCAGTGCATTGAATCTTACAAAGGGCAAATTTATACACTACCAGTAAAGCATTCTATCCACAGTCTAATGAGCAAGGTCAAGGTCTAAAACTACTCAGTTGACCATCTGAAGAGATAGCACTCATTATGCCGAATATGCCCACATAGCGTACTTCAGGCTCCCACAAAAAAACAATCAAGGAATATAAGTCATTTGTTTCTTCCAAAGACAATCCGAGGATTCACTCAATAGCTAAAGCTCTAGCTTTTACCGATAGGTAAGTCAATGGGTTTGCAATTTCGCATCTAGAATCATTCTAGGATATTCCTTATGTAAGTCATTAAAGACAAACCGAGAATTCTCCCAGAACAATCTCTAAGGATCTTACATTCGAGCATATA